ATGTGAAATATGTTTAGGGTGCAATTGAAAAATGTTATAAAAAACCTACAGTCACAAAGGATGGTGTTACCATTGAAAATGAATAGTATGAGTGGACTCAAGCTGAGAATAATGCTCTGATACCATTTGTTGAGAATTTGTACGTAGCAGAATGGTTGTAGAATATAATATAGATAGATAACCTAGAGGATGGTAAATATATTTAACTTACTTTTTTATCCAATTTTTACTTATTTTAATTTTACCGAAATAAAACTAAAATCAAACCACCAAGCAAAAATAAAGTGCAAGTAAAGTAAATAGAGTTTGAAAGATAACACTAGGATTTTAGCGAGGAAACCCTAATTGGTAGAATAGACCAATTGTAACAGGAAAAACCTCGTTGGACTAAGCAATCCTGAGATAAACGATCCACTATGTTTGAAGCAAAGTATATTGAACTTTGACTCAGTCTCACACCCTATCGTTTTACCAAAAATCAATCGCTGACAATCCTTGGCTTTGCGACTCCCCCATCCAACAGCTCTTAACCTCAGGCTTACTCTTGATTTCTGAAGAAGAGTTGCAGGTAGATCAAACAACATTCCACGAATGCTTTGACCCCTTCAAAGTATGATCGCTTCACCCCTTTTCTTCTAAATCTAAATTTGACGAAGAATGAATGAATTCTGCTTTTCAAAATTCCTGAATCTTCAATTATGCTCCAATTCTGATGAGACAGAGAACAACACTCTTAAATCACTCTTGTGTTTATGTGTGTGCTTTAAAAAATAAAATTAGAAAAATCAGATTGATTTTTTGAATAAAAATATCTCTCAAAGATGGCTCTCGAATAGATTTGAATTTTATATGTAAAAGCCGTGAATAAACCTAGATGACTATCAAGCTTTATGTAGAATTTATAATGTCCTAATCTCTCTGAAAATGTAGAAAATTTCATGCATAGGACTTGGAAGGAAATTTGGTCCAAAAGGGAATCAAAACGGATAACGAAACTGAAGTTTTATACTAATTAGGACTTCTTAAACCGATACCTGGATTTGGGTACCGGTTCAAGTTGAACAGAACCTATTCCGACGTACTTTGGCTACCAGTACCAAGAAGTTCCTACCAGTTCCTAATGGATAGAAGTGAATCCTTCATTTAGCTACCAGTACTAGATTTTGGCTACCAATACCAGAAGGACAGAAGTAAATTTCCTACTAGTACCAAAAAAACAGAATGTAAATTTCATTAACGCTTCAAACTTCTAAAACTTCCTAAGTGTTCTCACTCACTCACATACCTTTCTAAAATATTGTTCTCATCATCCCGAAGTGTAGTAAATCATGAACACTTGAACTTCTTCAAATCCGCATCCGATCTTCAATCTTGAAATTTTGAATTGAAACATTACAACTCGATCGAACTTATTTTGATAACAAAATTAGCCAATATACAATATATATATTTTTCACAATCTCCCCAAAATATATATATCACATAATATATATTTTACACAATCCTTTTACACATCCACATCATCATATTTTCTCCCTCCTCCCTCTTTCTCATTCCATTAACGAATCAATCATGTGTTAAGTAAATTTGTAAAAGTTTTGTGAATCTTGGGCATGACACGTTATTTACTGTCATTGACAGATATATTTTTACACAAAATGTATAAAACAATGGCTGGAGCTAAAAATAATTAATTCAAATTTTTTATATAAATCTATTATGACATATCAGATTTTCAAAATATATATATATATAAATATATATAGACAATCATTGGAGATGTTCTACCTATTGTCCAACTTTCAATGTGATAACTAGAGAGATTTAAGTGAGTACATAGTCGTCTGACTTAAATTCACCTTAATATATATATACACAATTTCCCCATTAATTGTTGCCTAGTTCACTCTTTGAATACTTTTAGTTTAAAATTTTTATTACGATTTATAACAAAATTCATCTATGTAAATTTAAAATATAAAATAATATTGTTTCAGCAATTGAGTAACGTGATATGTTATGCACTGTTAAATTCCATAGTTTGTCATTTTAAAGGTAGTTTCAACAGTGGGCCGCAACTAAAGAGAGTGATTTGAAAGGTTGTTTCAACATTACCTTTGACGGGCATCAATAGTATACTTCATGACAGCATACGTATATTTATTGATAGAATTCCTGATGTTCATATTAAATTTAAAATAGATTGAATTAGACAAATATAGGACCCGATTGTGAGAGGCCTAATATTTTTTGAGACCCTAACCTAAATAAGATCTAAAATTTTAAGAAGTCATAGTAATACAAATTTTTGAGCCAAATATACTGGAGGGTCAGGCCTTGTACTAATATCTTAATTATTAGAAAGTTCTAAAATACTCCTATTATTATTATTATTGCAATAAATATTCTAAATTTATAAAATGTTGGAAATTATCCCATTTGGAAGCCAAACATTGAAAATTTTATTTTATGTGACATATGAATGGAATATTTTGATAAAAAAATCATTATACATACAACAAACACTGTTAACTTGCTAATTATAAAATTAGATAAATAAATATATAAGTATATTTTGTCAAACCATCAACCCACATATCATATGTGTGCCCAAATTTTAACGTCGCCTTACAGAGGGATAATTGTTAACTTTTGATTAGTTAATTGTATTTGCTAAAAAACCTTTAAAATAAAGGGAAAATAAAGTAAAATAGATGTTAATTCTCTCCTATATTCTAAATTCATAATGAACATATGTTATTCTATTGTTGTGCTATAACAATGTTGAGAAGACTAGGTTCATTATTATTTATATAGACAACATTTTCATTAATGGACAACTAAAATGCACAACAATTAATAATTAAAAATCTAATCTATGGTATTTTCCATCTAACTATCAAATATTTACCATCTCTACAAATCTCTCTATTTTTTAGAATATTCGATAATTTACAAATTCATGCACTCTCTTTAATATTCTAGAATCCTCCGATCCACCACTCTAGAACATTTCACAATTTATTACACAAATATGTTCGATTGTATATCCATTTTTCTCTACCTGCCAACCCCATTTGGCCGAACGTGACATTATGAAATTAAAGGTTTAATATTACTTAATGGGATTCAAAGAATTCCAATTTTGTTAATGGTGAATTTTGGTACTCAATTTTATTTATTTTTTGTTTATGAAAAAATCATGCATTTATAATATAAATTTTAAAAAAATAAATATTACATAAATGAATATTGATAAGCGTTGAAAAATGGGCATTTAAACCCCTTAAACTCGAGTATTCTAGGAGCTTTATGTATCTTATTTTTTCGTTTTAGACTAATTTCATGTTATTACCCTTTTCAGGCACTTATCCACAAAATAAGTTAATGCAGCTGAATTAGAGCATAAAAGATGCAATCTCCAACTCAATGGAAGAAAGGAGCAACGTGGAAGCAAAGAGGTGGAAATCAGCATTCTTTGATCGATCATACCAAGCTTCGATCGATCACACAGTGATCGTTCCAATAAGGCTAAGATGGATCGAGCCTTTTGTTATTTTCCTCACCAAAATACCTTCTTCGATCGATCTAACAATTCTCTGATCGATCGAACACCCTTGATCTTATCCCCACCTACCACTTTTGTCTTTTTCCCAAAATATCCCAAAAATATCTCAGCCTTGTCTTATTCCAAAAAGGCACCGACATAGCTCAATTGATCGAACTAACTTTGAGATTGATTGAACATCCTCAAATGCGTGAAAAATTTGATTTCAAGCCAAATAAAAGGTGTGCTCGTGGTGCAATCATTTGGAGGTCCTAGTGCATGAGGGCTAACCATTTGGTGTGACATTTGAGCCTTTTATATAAAGATTTTGACTATTTTGAGTAAAAGAGAGATTAATTAGAGAGACTTGGCTAAAGACTAGAGAGAGAATACACAAATTGGGAAAAGTTCTTCCTCTCTTCTAGGTTTTCCACCAAGGAGGAAGAAGATTTTCTAGCATGGGATAACCTTTGAGGGTTGGATGACAATATCAATGGTGGCTAAACATCTTCTTGAGCTAGGGCTAGCCCTAAGGGTGCCTTCTAGATTTTGATGTTTTGTAATTAATGGGGATTTGTGTTGTAATTCTTGTCTTGACATTTGACTTATATATAAATCTTGTTTTTACAATGATTTGTGTGGTTTAATACTTCCAATTAATCATTTCATTCTATTCATATGTCTATGTATGCTAGAATAGATGTTCATATGTTTATCTCTAGATTTTGTGATGTTGATGCATGTTTATGTGTGTTGATGCTATGAATCTAGTAATTGTCAAGGCATGGTGCTTTAATGGAATACTCTTGTGATTTGTTTGATGGTTCATGCTCATTTCTTGATGGATTGTACCTTTTTTTTAATTTACTTAGTTTAATTTTCATGTCCCTAACTTAGTTGTAGTGTAGTCGCTTTACTTTCTTAGATGGGAGGACAATCCATGCTTGTTATTTGATATTCCATACTTATGAATGCAAGTAGTATATTTTTCTAAATTGTGGGTGTGTATTGATTGAGGGCTTAAAGGAAGGAATAATGACTTAACTTGATATGTTGTGCTATTCACTAGATTGGTTAGACAATGTATGCTTACTTAGCCATCCATGCTATTATTTCAATCAATTGCACACAATTTCATTTACAACACATGTTTCCCCTTTGTCCAATAAACATTGGATATCTAGGAAGGTGGTACTTAATGGTGAACTCAAAGTCCCAAGACTCTCTCTTATTCTCTACACTTTACTTAATTTAGTTGTTTCACATTATTTTCACTTAGTTAAAATTGTAGTTTAATTAACCAATTAAACCACCTTTTGATCACTCGACCTACTAATCCGACCTTATTTCCAAGCAAAAGTACGCTTCCAATCCATTGGCACAATCCCTACTGTGATATCCCTCGGATCCGAGACACGGGTTGATCAGGCCAGGCCCAAACCCGAGGGAAATATCAAACAATTAATATGTTATAACGAACACAGAATACAAATTGAATTTAAGAAACAATAGTTTAAGCTGAAAGAAAACTAAATAAAAAAATCTTTAACGGGAATCCATCTCTAGTGGACCCCTAAAAACCAAACTGAAATGAAAGTAAACTGAAGATAAAATCCAAATCAAATATCTGGAAGGAAGTCCTACATCATCGGTAGAATGGAAGATCGTCTCTGCCCAGCACGAACAAGTTCAAGCCTGGAACTGACGTACACCTGAAAAATAGGAGTGGGTCAGGCCCACAAACAAGTTCTAACCTACTACAATCCAAGCAGAGACTTGATACGCATATACACTCTAACCAACTTAACAATAACTATATAAGTCGTGTATATATATATATATATATATATATATATATATATATATCCACACTAGGGACTCTCGCTGGATTATGATACAGGTCGCAACCTGAGTAGAAGGCAACATGCAAAACGCACCTGAGTGGGCATGACTACCTAAGCCTAACAGGGTACACCACAACCAGCATAGCCAGCTACGCATCCTACTGCATATACGCTTCCTAACTGTCGATTCTGAGACTCAAGCTCATGTCACAGTACCATAATAATATATTTAAAATCCGTTCATAACCATCCATAATAAATTTAGTAAATTGTTCAGCTTATTCTACTGCACAGACTTAACATAGATAACCAGTAATCCAGCTAGTCATTCAGCTTGTGCAGCTTCTTTGACTTAGCCTAAATATAAGTAGGATTTATTTTTAATCCACTCCCTTATTCCGTATAGGTAGGAAGTAGCAATTTTGAGCCAATTCAAACCTAGTATGTCACCGTCCCATACCGGTGCATATAATCCAATCCATCCGGCAGTTGATAGAATAAATAAAAAATATAACTATCAACCAATCCATACATTCCACAATTGACAATAAAACATTGAGTACAAATATCAATTGTTCCATATTAAGCATGATAAAATAATTGTCAATTAACGATCTTAATCCATACTACTCTGAAATGTCCATTAATTGATACTACAGGTTATACATGTAAACCAATTAATTTTAATCAACCATAACAGAATATAAATGTTCACAGGTTTATTTTTAGTAATTCTGGAACGTGACTAATTGCAAATCATCACTAAGAATTTTAATACCAAAGCTTAAATATCTTGCAGTTCCTCCCATCCAAACTGAAAACCAACTTAGGGCCAAATAAGCATACTAAACCATTTAAATCCACACGCTTATTTTACAACATTGGGATAGGTTTAATTGAGAATTTTATTGCTAAGAACTGCTATTCTAAGTGTTAAGCAATTCTACATCCTTTCATAACAAAAACACAGTAAACTGAATAATTAAGTATTGTCCACTATCGCATTAAAACAAAGTTGTTTTATTTTGCATAAATCTTCTCTCAAGGATTTTAATCAAGCTGAGACCACCTCTAAACACCTCAGTATAGCTTCCAACATAAACTAAAAATTCCAAAATCCAAGTTCTGTAGCCCACACAGTCGCAGAAAAATTAAAAAACGCACACCCGAGGGAAGAGCCTGCTCTACCAAAAGAAGAGCCTGCTCTTCCCATCTTGGAGCCGCCTCTACTAGAAGAAGAGCCTTCTCCAAGACCCCTAGAGCCGGCTCTACTTAAAAGTAGAGCTTACTCTTGGTCCGGAAGAGCCTGCTCTCTAAAACAGTGAGCCGTCTCTCTCTCTGTTCTTCATCGTTTTCAATTCTGGTGAGTTTCTGATGAACTGACGTTCACACCTAGGGTTCCTAAGTGTTTAAATCAGGTTCCAAATTATTCCGGAATCCACTAAATTCTTTGTTCAGTTACTAAAATCAATTAAAGCATGAATTTTGTACCAAGAGTTTAATACGAGCAGTTTATGCCTTCCCGAACCCCAATTGTTTTAACACACCAAACTTGCAAACTCAATTAATTCCAGTGGTTCCCAACATGGTATAAAACTAATTAAAATCATTACTCATCAACTTACATGATTTAAAACAGAAATTATGCAACAAAGAATTTAATACAAACATTAAACAACTTGAACACACATCCAGTTTTAAGCATTTAAAACATGCAATCCAGTTCAGTTTTTAATCCTTATTAAATCCTGGAATTGTATCAGTTGTGCAAAGAACATGAGCCTAAGGGAAAGAGATAGGTTTAGAACTTGCCTTTAGGTCTCAGTTTGAAACCTTGCACAGTTGCTTCCTAAATTCTCCGGCGAACTCCGACTACTGTAAACCTTCCTCTGTTCTCTCTCTCTGCCTCCACAGACGTGTTTAGGTTCTAAAACCCTAGGTAGAACCTTAATGTATATATTTATAGGATTAAGGTTACCCTAATTCTAGTCCTAATACTAGACATGAAACTAAGTCGGCTAAAGAAAAAATAAAACAAAACCCTAAGTTTAATTAACGAAAAACAGAAAAATAAAATACAATTTAATAATTAATTAATTAATTCACAAAACCACCACTAAATAAATAAAAACAAATAAAGTCACACTTAATCAACAAATTCACAACTAAATAAATAAAAACACAATTTAAATAATTAAATAAATTCCAGAACTATCCTTGTTAAATTAGGGGTATTACACCTACTCACCCTAACTATATTTTTAATTAGAAGTGGTAGTGGCATTTCATAAATTTAAACTTGACACACTACACTTTTGCATGCTTTGGTTGAGGCGACACCAAATATATACCTAAATGAACAGTGATACACTCTCAAAGTTGGTGTCAAATTGGTTAAATTAAGGGCCTATTTGGCTAATGTTTTTGTTTCATATTTTTTGCTTTTGCTAGTGTACTGTAGTGAAGCAAAAGTACGAAATATGTTTGGTAACATTTGTTGTCATTTGAATAGTATTGAAGCGCTTCCAAAATTGAGGCCAAAATTGGAAGCATCAAAATGATGCTTTTTCTTGCTTCCACATTGTAGTAAAACATTATTTAAAAAAAAAAAAAAAAAATCTAAATCAACTTGTTTAACTAGCCATTCAATTTTTCAAACTTACAGCATCTTTTACCAAACATGCTTTCACGTTTTTTCTTCCAAAAATCTTGTAACAAATTTACGTTACCAATTTTTTTTTGAAATAGTGTTAAACATACTCTAAAGCGAAAATATTACTTCTATTTCGGGTCAAAGTAAAAACATAAAACAACTGTTGCCAAACGTACCCTAAAGGATTCTTTTGAAGTCCTTATATCCTAAGGACCTAACCCATTGAAGTCCATTTGCAGAATTGCACAAACAATAAAGCCAACGCTCCAGACTTATATACGGTGGATAAGGGAATCCCATATTTTCCTTTCCCAAACAGGCCTTTCAAAAATGGCCAGAAGCATAGCACCACACACAGGCTACCTATGAACTCCCCTATCCCACACCCATTCCCATCATTGTGAACTCGTCGAAACCCTAATATTCCGGTGGCTAATGCCATCAAGTGCACCAACAAAATAGTAGTGCCCGGGATGAAAATCGGGGACTCATCGAATGTATACCTTCCGGCATTGGCATTGACATTGTCATCGTCATCATCATCATCACTACTTGTTTGCTCTTTTTGTGTAACCTCAAACACCGTCTCTGATAGACCTAAGAGCTTCAGTATAACACTTGACATTCCAAATAACCATGCTGACATCGCGTTCACTCTCAACATTCTCTGGTTGTTCCACCATGCGTGGATTGACAAACCAATTTGGAGGTACTCTGATAGGGTGTAAAGGTTGTAGATGATAAATATTGAAACCGGTATCAATATGGCCAGTTCTTGAACCTGCAGAAACAAATCAAACTTATTATATTGTTCGAATTTTAAATTTTAAATGTATTTTATTGTCTAAAGGGTTATAATCTAGGGGTTCTTTCTACTTTTATTATATAAAATGTCCAGAATTTTAGTCCATGACAGAAAATGAGCATTTGTCTACACAAAAGAAAAACAAAAACTTATTTACCAAAAAAAATATTAAAAATAAAAAACAACACGAATAATTCAAGTAGTGTGAGTTGGTGAGGATAGAAAACACGGATAGGTCCAATGAATAATTTCTTTAAATGAATAATGATTAAGGATGGAGGGTTATGGTTGGTGCCTACCTTGGGAAAGAAGTGTGAGTTGGTGAGGATAGAAAACGCGGGTAAAACAGCATAACACAGCTCTGGAATTGAACGTAAGGCCCAACCTTGAAGCCACATATATGCCATGCATTGCCTGAACTGGAGCTTACCAGTGAGCGTAGCAATCAATGGGCTTCTTGGGCTGATTAGGATTTCTAGAAGCCCAGTGGCCCATCTCTTTTGTTGGATCATAGACGCAGGCCCACTCAAAGGTGCGCACCCTAAAAATGCATCTGGCTTAGGATTACATAAGGCGGATCTCCAACCTTTCCCATGAATGGTAAGTCCAGTGAGAATGTCTTCTGTTGCAGATCCATATAGCCAGCCAACCTGAAATGTAGTTATCAAATCACACTCCATTAGAATTATCATATATATATATATATATATATATATATATATATATATATACACATACAAACATACACGACCAATCATACAACATGACCTCTTACCTGTGTACCCCAACTGGTACCATTCTCATAGACACAACTTGAGACCTTGCAGGCTACCTCCGTTAATGAAGTTGAATAATCGAGTTGAGTATAAGATTTCCCATTCAACCCTAACAAAATCTGAGCAGCTGATTTGTTGAACCCCTTTGAATTTCCAAATTTTTTCTCCAAGTATTTATCACTCAATTTACCTAATAAAGCAAGGTAATATTGTAGAAAGTGTAGCTCATTTAATATTATATATATATATATATATTAAAAAATTAAATAGAAAGAAGAACTATACTTGAGAGTTTATAGTTAATTCAAGTACCATTAATTTCTTTCTCATCCGGTGATAAATCATAAATAACTTTTCTTCTATGAAAACATCCAGTTCCATAGTAAAATGGTCCTTGAATCTCGGATATTCCGTGCCCAATATACTGTTTTAGGCATTTAAAAAGAATTTAGATTAATTTTCTAAATCTATTAATTCACAAGTTTTCTTATATTAACAAAATAATAATAATACTTTTTTGATAGATTTTTGTAATTAATATGGTAACTTTAATTAATTACTTACTTCATACAAAACCACCAATTGATTTCCAAATGGGTCATCCTTTGGTCCATCATAGAATTGTTGGGGACACTGAACAAATGCACAGTCGCTTTCATTTTGCACACCAAGGAGCAGACACATTGCATGAAGAGCGATTTGTGGATTGTTGGCGAACATGTCACAGTCTACGTTCAGCATGAAAGGAGCATTTGTCATCACTCCAGAAACTCTCGCCTGTTCATGATGTGGTTCATGTTAATTTTGATCGAAAAACTAATTAGTAACAAGTACATTAAAATGAATTATTAAGAATAATATATAAAACTTTGTGTGTACATATATATTTTCTAAAAAGTTTCACATGCATCAAATAATTATCAATCCCCAATTCCACATGCATCAATTAATTATCGAAAAAGTTTCCGAGATTTGAACTCCCAACCTAAGTTAAGAGTATAAGTGGGATGTGACCAATGTGTGTGTCTATATATATATAGTACAAATGAAGATTATGTAAATAATTCCTTGTCGATGCCGAAAAATTCTTACTAGGACATTCATTGCACCAGCTTTGAAATGATGTGGATGCTTTGGACGCTTTTCTCTTGAAATGTAGATCAAATGTGGCAATCCATTTGAATCACCCTCCTGGTTCTCCCATATAACCTGTATTGACCATTTTTACAATGAATTACAGAGAAAATACTACTTTCTGGTGGCCCTTGCACTTTCCTGCTATACAAACAGTATCATTTAAAGGAATTTATAAACACTCATTATTGTGCAAATGAAGATATATAAATCAAATCTTGAAACTTCCATTTCAAAATAGAAGAATATACCATTTGGTTAAGCTCTTATCTATTTCATAAGTAACATATTCTAAACAAATCAATACTAGAGCTATAACTATGGACGGAGCCAATTAAAGGGGCGGGGGATATGCTAAAATTTTAATAATTTTAAAACTCTCCCTCCTCGATTATATTTATTTATGGATTAAGTGCAAAAAATCCATGCATAATATACAAAATGTCCAATTACTCTTTTATTGTTTGAAAAACTCCAATATTTTTTTTCAATTTGTGCAAATAAGGACAAATCATAATTTTGGCAGTAAAATTACTAAATTAACCTTATTTTATCATTAGTAAAAAAAAAATAAAGCAAAATGCAAAATATCAAAATTAACCTTAAATTCATATTTTCCTTCTCTACCTGCCATAACATAACAATATTCTATATAATTATATATACTCCATAAAATAAACCCACTGCACCCACCAAGCCCTATCTTTTATTCCATATCCTTAAATAAACCCAACTATTTATAAAAGTTTGAGACAACACTATTAAATTAGTAAGGAATGACATGTTGTATTCGTGTTCAAAGTTAAAATTTGAAGAAGGAATATGTAAGTACAAAAATTTATAGATAAAAACTAAACAAGTCCACACAAATGAAAATACTCATAAAATTGATCCAAACTTTCTAATATTGCTTTGATGCGACCCCATCTTAATACAAGAAGTAATTTTTTATCTAATTTTCCCTCTAATTTTATATATCCTTTTTTTATATGATTTCTATCTATTTATACCGAAATTTTTTAATTGGGTCTTAATATTTTCTGTTGATCTTCTTGAAGACATTGGAATTGGATTGTTGATTTTTTGGAGTGGGTCGAACAACGTCTTTTCGGTTGTGCTCTCTAGATCTATGCTGATACTATGAAAATTCTTGGAACTTGCGTGCTATGTTTCAGAGAGATACTACTTACTATCAACGACATAGAAATTTTAGAGAGAGAAAAAAAAATTTAGAGAGAGAGAGGGAGAGAGGGATTATATATATATTTTTTTTATAGAAGGAGAGTTCTACGAATGGAAATAAAATATATAGAAGTTATATAGTTAGAACAGAATATTTGTAAGAAAGATCATGTTTATATATATATATATATATATATTGAAATAAATAATATTCAACAAAAATTAAAAATGATGTACAGATACTAGAATCTCACTTGACATACCAAATAAAATATAGTATCCTAAGAAAATAAAAAATAAAAATGATGTTTTTTTAGAAACAAATTGCGAAACGGCAACATAGAAATATTTTAGAGAGTGAAAAATAATATTAGAGAGAAGATTTCCTTTGATTGGTCTACAAGTACATCCAAATAAACTCATTCACTGTTCAAATATATTAGTGTTCAAATATATACAAAATTGGTAAGGGTATTCTTCTTACACATAAATGGTACTTTTGAATTTTCAGAAAAAAAATGATATCACCAACAACTATTTTTTATCAGATTTATTCAACTCAAAAGATGGATAATACAGAAGTTATATGCACTTCTTTTTCTTCTTCTTCTTTTTTCACTTTAACCCTTTCTTTATTAGATTTTTCCCCTGCTACAAGATATATATGATGATAGACTATATGCATACCTTAATAATTGTTTGATGGTTTCTGCGGTCTATATTTGAGAACACTGCAAAGTCGCCAGTTAGGTCACATGACCAGGACCTTGTAGCAGCATCTTCAACTTTTTGACTAAGCTGTTCATATGCATCCTACAAACAAACAAACAAAAAACGAGACACACATTAATTTGTACATATATCATTTTCGGTACTTATCTGCATGTAACTATTTTTATTTGTATCTCTTAGAAAATCATGGCTAATTACCCTCCATTTTTTGCCAAACATCTTTGTTCTGAAAAACACTTGCAAGAAGTTAGCCAAGAAAAGGACTAGGTTAAAAACACATGTAAAAATGTTTATAAAAAGTAATTTTCGACAAAGAATATGTTTTACATGGAAACAAAAAAAATATAAGAAAGAAACATCTTTGTTCTAAAAATACTTGCATTAATTACCTTCATCTTTATCCATTCTTGCTGGAACTCTATGGAAGTATCATGGCCTAACGACTGGATCTTTTTAGAAAAGTATCGAAATGGAGCTCTAATCTGAACTTTGTACTTCTTACAGAAAGGAACCCAGAGCTTTGCAAACTTGGAAGCTTCAATTAAGGCATAAAAAGTGATAGGGGAAGCGCCGTCGTCGGAGACATAGCAAGCCAACTTGTCAGCTGGGTAATCTAATGCTAACAAGGATAGAACAGTGTTCACAGTGATGATAGGCGGTTCTAGTGCAGCGTCTGCTGTTGTAACAAACATGTCCACTGGAGGGAGTTCAGGAGCCCTGTTGAAAAGAAAAATTAAAATTAAACATACATATAAACTTAATTCGTCAACTAAGATACCATGATACCATGCTCCGAACCCAGCCTGCTTAAAGGGTTGGAGTACAAATGGACTCCAAACCGAAACAAGCTTGCAAAAGGATGGGTAACATACATATAATCTTAACTGAGTTATATGTAAACAACCATCATTGCAAAACATGTTCTCATATATTGTAGTTTGTGAACTTAATTATACCATTGCAAGAGTCGTTCAGGGTGTGTTATGAAATCCACTTGATTCCATTTAATGGTGACAGTAAGAATCCACACGGAAGTGAAGTGTAGCTCGCAAAAGAAGGCCATGTGCCAAGAGACGCCATGGTTTTCGCGGTTAAGAAGCCGATAGACAAGGAGGGAGATGAGAAGGAAGAGGATAAGGAGCTCCACAGCTCTTGGTATTGTGTTTTTACGACGGATTCGTTCATACAGAGGGAGAGAGACTGGACTGGCCATTAATTGAAGAACTTAAGAGTGCTATCATATAATGTGTTTATTCTGACTTTTTTGTTGGGTAAGTACTATAAAAAAGAAATAATTATTTTGCCTTCTTGGCCTCTGTTTGGTATTATTGTAGATAAGTGCCCTGTTTTTGTCTTGTATTGTGTGCTAGCTAATGTTTGGAAGTGTCCGGTTTTTGTCCATCCACATAATATGTGGTTTAGAAAGCATATCCTGTTGACTTTTTTTTTTTTTTTTTGTTTTGTATTGGAAAGGATATACACCACACATCAGGAAAATAAATAAATTGAAGAAAAAAATAAAGGCCTTTGTTGTGACTTGGCAGAGGTATGCGAAGGGGATTTTACCTTCCATGTATATATCTATATATATATTTTGGTATTATTGTCCTTATTAAAATTTTGTTAACCAAAATAATAAATATCTATATCCACATATCTATCTACCTATATTATTCTAAAAGTGTAAGCTCATTTCCTAATTTATTAAATAAAAGTGTAATTAAGTCTCATTAAAAATATTTCATTAAATCATCTTATTTAACTCACATAACTAAAATAAAAATAAAAACATTAAATTGCCTTATGATTCATACAATACCCATTTTTTCTTATAAAAATTATAATGACATCTCATTAAATCACCTTATTTAACTCTCACAAGTAAAAAAGAAGAATTTTTTTTAAAAAAAATATATGCTATTCTAAACGTGTAAGACATTTTCTTTATTTTTTTAGAAAAATTCAGCCTCTGTTTGTTTGGACGTAAAATATTTTTCAGAAAATATTTTTATTTTTATTTTCTAGTGTTTGGTTATCGTAAAATATTTACGAAGAAAAAAAAATATTAATATTTAACAAAAATAATTTATTTAGGAATTTTCAACAAGTAATTTTATATGCCCCGTCCGAAAGATTCAACCTCAACTTTTGCGTAAATCTTTGTCAAACACCAACAAAGTAAAAATAAAAAAATATTTTACAAACGGAGCCAATTAAAGAGTCTTATTAAAATGAATTTTGTTGTGCTTTAATGAGACTCTAACAAAAATAAAAAAAATGGAATGTTTTTTGTTTTTTTTTTTTTTGAGAATATATATATTTTTAGTTAATACTCACACATACAAACTGAGTCTCATAAAAAAAATGGGATGTTTTTTGTTTTTTTTTAGAATAATTTTTTTTTTTAGTTGGTACTCACACATACAAACTCCTTACCTCTCTTTAAAAAATAAGAACTAATACGCCACTGGTATATTAATTTTTTAAGAATATTTTACGTGAACATTAACTATTTGTGATTTAATGAGACTGTTTAATGAGAAAAAAATAATAAAAGGTATGAAAAAAAAACGCACGGCCCACTTCTTTTCCCACCATGTCTATTTATCTATATATGCACTGTTCTAAAAGTTTAAGTTATTCTATTTCTTAATATTTTTTATTTTATTTTTCGTACCGTTTTAACGAACGCATCATGCATTGTTGTTTGTATCCGGTACACATTTGGACACTTAATAAAACCATCGTCACCCTTTGCATGTGATATTCTAATACCGAATCGTTTAACATTATCAATATGCAATTAAAGATGCAATTTTTTTTTTTTTGAAGGTAGAGTTTAACTAGGTTTAATTCTTACCGTTCTAACCCCTAATATAAAATAAAGGATAATAGGCACAAATTATGTTAGGATTTTACATACATAATTGACAAATATAACAAATAAAATCACATACACAATGTGGTTTGGCAAATTACTTATATTTACCGGCAAAGAACGACCATCTTTACTTCAAGTTTTAATTACATGTACACATATTTCTCTTTTTACAAACTCAACTCATATTTTATTTTATTTTATTTATTTATTTTTTTTCTCTACAATTATCTCTTTTCTCTCCATCTATCTCTCTACTCAAACTCATCTCTATTTATAGAGTCTTCAAAACTCAATTCTTTGTTGGATAAAAATGTTAGAGATAATTAATTTCCTCCAACCCACTCAACGGTCGGCTGTTGTTAAGAGTTAAATCCATCCTTAAGCACACAACGGAAACATCATCACATCACATCAACATAAGCATGTATGGAGATAACAATCATACACATCCACATATAATACAATATTTTACATGATTCACCCAATTCTAGGGTTACGTCTATTGGAGAGAGATATTTCACTATTATGAATCAAGGAAGAGAATATACAACCACATGTCAAAACCCCACTCACTTACTCATCATCTCTTTTGAGGCACATGTATACACTCGAAAATTACATATACTCTTCCCTCTCCTCACAACACTCACCCTTAAACCCCTTACATCTTTTATCTCCTCTCTTTCTCTAAACCTCTCACACCCATCTCTATTTATAGAGTCTTCAAACTCAATTCCTTGATGGACAAGTATTCCTCAATTTGCATACAAGAAGTTACTATAATAACCAAAACTTTAAAATAGAAATATAATGGGATATAATTTCCTCTACAAATTTCAAATAGAAATATAATGGGATATAATTTCCTCTACAAATTTCAAAAACAGTTCTCCTCATACAGTTCTCCTCATACATTTAGGAGTTTAATAAGGTCGCTAACACAAAATAAAAAATAAAAAATAATTGTTAATTAAATCTATACTCTTTCTATATTATATAAGTCTTTTTTTGCCTTCATCTAATCACATCAATTTTTTGATTTTTCTAAGGTACGTGTCACCTACACCCCTATTGGTAGAGTAACTTATTACCTATGTCTTCATCATGCATTGTTTTACTATTTGATCATGCATTGTTTTATTATATATATTGCTACATTTAATATATACAAAAATAAAATAATAAAAAAACCTAATTAATTGTCTTTCTCTTCTTCTTTTTAGTCCAAGTTTTGCCAAGATCGAAGCCTTTTTTTGCAAGGCACGTGTCACCCCCACACCCTATTGGTAGAGTAATTCATTAATTTATGATAATATATATATATATATATATATATATATATATATATATATATTTGGGTTGTAATTATAATTTTTTTTTTATTAAATTTGAATATTGTTATTATTCTCTCAATATAATAAATTTAATCGACATCCGATCGCAACCATTACTGTCAATAAGCACTGCCAATGGATCTGCCTTCATGTTGCCATTAACGGTCATTTTCATAGTTTTATAATCACAACCAACAAGCTTTTTGCTTAAGCATCATTGTCGATGACTTTTGATTGATTAAATTTAATTATAATTTTTTTTTATTAAATTTGAATATTGTGATAATTTTCAATTTGAATTTAATTGAGGAGGATTGTTTTTATATTTTTGTGTAGCAATGGTGAATTTTAATTATTAGATTTCAAATTTTATTAGGTTTTGAACTTTATTAAGTAATTGACTCTTTTATTAAGAGGATTGCAATTGTGATTTTAATTATTAGATTTTTCTTTTTATTTGCTTCCTACTGTTATTTTAATTATTAGATTTTAATTATTGTTAATTTGAATTTTACTAGGTAATTTTGAATTTTAAGTAATTTGAAAGTGATGATTTGATTCTTATTTGATTCTAAGCTAGTTGAGGTTTTAAAGAGTTTCTATAAAACTCTAACACAAATTACCAATTTATCTATTCATTGTGAGTTTTTTAATAAAAGGAAATCTAATTAGACCAGAATTATTTATATAAAAAATATTTATTAATTGATATAAAAATAGTTACTATAAAACTCTAAAAATTACCTAATAAAACCAATCACAATAAAAATATTTATTAATTGATATAAAAATAATAGAAAATTGAGAATTCTAGAAATCCAGAATTCCAGAGTAAAATATAGAATAGTTATTTTTTATGAATAATTATCACAATTTAACCGGCCCGGCCCAACTCAATTATGATTATGTCATTATCAGGTGGGGCACATGTCATCATCTTATTAATCCAAGGAGTCTATAAATAGAGGCGTGGAAGAAGTAGGAAGGGGTACAGAAATTGAAAATTCTAGAACTTCAGAATTTCAGAGTAAAATATAGAAGTTCTGCCAAAGAGTTTTAGTATTTATTTATTTATTTATATAAAAAATATTTATTAATTGATACCAAAAGAGTTTTTATCTATAAATATATAAATAAATATTTATTAATTGATATAAAAAGAGTTTTTATCTATACTTTTATTGAATGTGCAAAGAGTTTCAATATTTCAGAATTTATTTATTTATATAAAAAATATTTATTAATTGATATGAAAATAGTTTTTATATATATAAAAAAATTATATAAAACTCTAAAATCTACCTAAAAAAATTCAATTTAACCAATTTATCTATTTATTATTATTAATTTTCTAATAAAAGAAAATCTAATAAGACAAGAATTATTAAAATATAAAATATTTATTAAATAATATATAAAATAAAATAATTTTTCTAAAACTCTTCCACAAATTAACTTTTATTATGAGTTTCTTAATAAAATTAAATCTAATTATACAATTATATATTTAAAGAAAATAAAATAATTTCTACAAAACTCTGTCACAAATTACCTATTTTATTTTCAATAAAACTATATCACATTAAACAAAGATATATTTAAAAAGTTTCTATAAAACTCTAACACAAATTACATATTTATTTATTTATTATGGGTTTTATAGTAAAAGGAAATCTAATTAGACAAGTATTATTAATATAAAAAATTATTTATTAATTGATATAAAAAGAGGTTTTAAAAGAGTTTCTACAAAACTCTAACACAAATTACCTATTTATCTATTTATTATGAATTTTTTAATAAAAGAAAATCTAATTAGACAAGAATTTTTAATATAAAAAATATTTATTAGTCGATATAAAAGAGTTTATAAAAGAGTTTTTATTAAATTAACTTTCACACAAATTACATATTTATTTATTTATTATGCGTTTTTTAATAAAAGAAAATCTAATTAGATAAGAATTATTAATATAAAAAATAAAATAACTTTTCTAAAACTCAACCCCAAATTACCTTTTATGATGAACTTTTTTAATAAAAGGTAATCTAATTGGACAATAATTATTAATATG